TTTTTATTTTTAATAAAAATATATACATTATTTTTAAATAAAGCCAATAAAAAAATATTTTTTAAGTTGAGATACAAGAAAAGTATACAATAAAATTATTAAATATTCTTAATGAATTATTTTTTAATGTTGATTCATTAATAAAGGTTTCTAATTAATTTCATAAGTATTCATTAGTAAATTTTGATTATTAAGTTAATATATTTTTTTATCATAAGTTAACATAGTAAAAATTAAAATATCATTAAATGTTATTAAAAGAGAAAAAACTAAATTGAAATTATTTAGATAATTAGTAGTTAAAGATGGTAACAAAAAGTTAAATAATTATATTAAAAGGCAGTACTATAGAGATAATCTTTTTATGCCACCTTTTGATACAACTTTTATATGTCATTAAATGAATGAAGTCATTAAATGAATGAATGCATTCAATATTATTGAACCGACATGAATAAAAAAAACCAATCATGTAAATGACATGTCAAATTGTACAAAAAAATGAGATAAAAAGATTATCCCAAAATTATTTCCCTTATATTAAATTTACTAGTGGTTTAGTGGTTTAATGCAAAAAACTACAATATTCTAGCAAAGTGGACTCTAATTACTATCATCCAATAAGAATGACAATTTTCTTTATAACCAATAGAGTTCTATGGAGATCACGAGAATGGAGATTCTTAAAATATTCATTTTCATGGATGATGATAAAGGTAATTTTTTTTTTTATAAAATTTTATGAAAATTTTTCTCTATCTCGTGAACCCCATAGGGTACCATAAATTAATAAAAAAATTATAAATTTTATTTTCATAAATTATAATAAATCCAAAATTTTCAATTCTCAAACTCACAAATCTCAACCAGAAATACTTTAACACTCTCATCTTTCCTCTCTCCCACCTTGGTTCCCTCCCAACCACACTTCTTTGTTTAGTAAGTTTTTTTAATTTGAATTTAGTTTACTTTATCAATTTTTTTTTTGAAAAGTTTATTTTATTTGATTTGATTCATTTTCAAAAAAAAATAGAAATAACTATTTTTTTCTAAAATGTTTTTGGACTTTTTTTTTTCTAAATTAAGAATTAAATGAATCAATTTATTTTTGTATATAACCAAACAAAAAAAAATTGTATACTTTCATAAATATAAAAAATTCTCTCGAGAACTCTTCATTTTCAACCCGTGCTTACGTAAAAAAATTCTCGTAGGAATCTCCGCATCTGCTAATAATAAGGATGGGAATGGGGAGAGACCATCTGTATCCTTTAGTGCAAAACCCTTAAATTAAAAATTTTACCAAATATTTACTTCACAATAGTTTAAAAATAAACAAAAATCTATTTAAACCATACCACATATTAATTTAGATAAAATTACTAACTACTACTCCCTAACTACTTTACCAAATGGACCTTCGTTATAAACATTTAGATCTTTGCCAGGAAGGAAAGTTTTGTTGTTCTAAAGCAAGAGGCTTGAAGTTAAGTCTATAAACTTTGTTTTTGCTGTTTGTACATGATTAAAGTAATCAATTTGTAAACCAAAGTGTATTCAAATTCACTTGCATTAAGTTCATGAAATGAAGATCATAAGTGCAATGGGAGGAATAAAATCACTTGCATGCACTTGAACCTGCTATTGCATTGCAGTGCACGAGTTAAACCTAAGGTATCTGTTTCAATACAATTGACTATAAAATCAATCTCTCACCAACCACTTTTCTGGTACATGGAAAAAACAATTAAAAAGGCAAAAACTACATCGGCTTGTTCACTGACCCGTCAACTAAAAAGGGTAAGCTCCATCCATGGATGTTTATGAGAGAAAAAGAAATCTTCCACAACAACAGAAGAGTAGTTCCATAATAGACAACTTCATGAATGCCAAGTGTTTTTCCTCACTAGAGAGAGTCACACTGTAGTCTTCTCTAAACCTCTGCCGTGCAACCAACATGATTTGTATGGTTAGATGTATGCAGCAACCGTTTTAACAAGTGGTCATCTATTACAGATGTGATCTTCTGTGTACTCTGTAAGATGGTGCCCAACCATCAATATTGACCAAAAAATAAAGTACGTAGAACAGCGGGAGTTACCAATCTAATATGCATTTAATCATTTAATTGAACTCAGTCATGTTACGTAACTTCAGCATCATTACATAACTGTTGGGAGTGCGATACTGGAACTAATTCACTTGTATGGAGCAAAAATGATTGATGAATTGTGGCCTCCAAACCCAAATGAATTAGACAATGCTGCCTTGATGTCCAACCTTTCTTTCTTTGGGCCCACAAGCACATTTGTATCCTGAATGGAAGTTGGCAGTGTTAGACAGACTCAGTTTCCGTAAATTAGAAATCAAATGCTGTTTTCTATTTATCATCGTAAGGAAGTGAAGGATCATAGAGTATAATGGATCTCATAAATCCTAATGTTGTAAAATTTACAGAAAAGGCACCATACCACTCCTTTGTCTGGATTTTCCAAATTAATATTTGGATGAACCCACCCTGTTCGTATTGCCTGCAAAAAACACAAAGATCATGCTGATTAAAAAAGAATAGAAAAAGAGGTGAAAGAAAATTGGACATAACAGTGCCTATTTAATTTCTTTTTACTCTAACATAACCATAAATGGCATAACCTGGCAATTTAGACTATATCCCCATATACTTTTTCTGAAAATTCAACATGTGATCCATAAATTGCATACCTGCACTGCAGCAACAGCTTCCACAGCACCAGCAGCTCCTAGCAGGTGACCAATCATAGACTTTGTGGAATTCACCCTTAACTGCAAATATGGGAGATCTTATCAAGAAGTACAGTACAGTAATAATATTAGAAAGAGAATTATAAAGCTTTAGGAAAGAAAAGTATTCATTGAAGATACCTCAGGATTCCTGCCAAAACAATGAATAAGAGCTTGGAACTCTTTAATATCTCCAGCTGGGGTAGATGTAGCATGTGCATTTATGTAATTCACATCTTCCCTAGATACCCCAGACTGTGCTAATGCCTTCTCTATGCAGAGAATTACACCAACTCCTGTTCAAGATTGCAGTACATTAGTTCATCCTCTCGCATGATACCGTGTGGTGCCAGAAATAAACAAGGAACACTGAAAAGTCAAATATTCCAGATTTGGTAATTACTGTGAAATTTTTGAGTAATAAGCATACGTGATGTTTGGCCCAAAAAAAGGCATATGTGGTGTTCAGGGGCATTAAGTACCCTGGACATTTTGAAAACTTTGCAATAATAGGGTAATTACACTAAATTTTCATTTTAATTAGAGCAAACAAATACTAATTTACATACATACTGAAAGAACAGATGCAGGATACCAGAAAATCAAAAACACCACACTCAGCAACGGTTCTAAATTATTTCCCTTTAACTATTGTTGATAAATCAGACTCAGCATAAGAAAACCCAATTGATTATTAAGTTAATGATATCTCATCTCTTATGCTTGCACCGTATAGTTTATTAAGGCTATAAGCATGATATAGAATTGACAGTTCAGATAGAACACTAATAGTAATAGCAGATTCTTTTGATTCAAGAAAAGATTGCATAGTCAAAATAAAGAAACAAGCACTTCTGAATTTTACCGTAAATGGTGAGTATGATATCGAATTGACAGTTCAGATAGAACACTAATAGCAGATTCTTTTGATTCAAGAACAATACTACAACAGTATGATGTAGAGAAATAGTTAATACAATCAAAACCGCTGAGTTCTATACTTATATGCTCTACTTTTGGAGAGCAAATTACATGTTGG